GAAAATAAGTAGAGTGAAGATATGCCAGGTACAGGATCCTAATAACCTCAAAGAATGTGGACATTATATGCTATAAACATGAACTAAGATTTCAAATATCAACAAGAACGAAAAGAGGGAAGGGGAAATTGGAAGAGGAGAATGGGGAGGGGATTAAACAATGAAACAAGCTGTATTATGTACATGTGCCAGCTCCCTAAGATGATTATAAAATGCAAGTACCGCAAATATGTACTAATAATTTTTTAAAAGAATGATATAGAAGTGGAAAGGGATAAAGCCACATGCAGAAGAGTTTAAAGCAAGGGGTGTTGTCACTTTACCACAATGTGCTGTTGAGAACCAGTCTACTCACAGGAGAACTGACCCTCTTCCATGAGGCAGCATTGGCCCGTTTATCAGATGGAGCCCCGTGACCCTGTTGACTTCCACTAGGGCCCATCTCTTAATGGTTGTGCCACCTCCACGCCTGCACACTGGGACCACACTTCCTACACGTGAAGTGCTGGTGGGCACACTGTGTCACAGCGATGAGAAAATTGGTTGTGACAAAAAGGATGAGGATATCCCAGAGGAAGCAATACCAACAAAAGACTTCACTTTACAGGAACTCTTCAAGTTATGTCATGGCATTGAATGCACAAAGGATAAAATTTTGGAAGCTAATCTAAGCTTGGATTCACCAATGCATAATAAAAATGTTCATTTGTATTGTGTTATACTATAGAAGAAGAAAGCAAACACTGTTCAAGCCATTTTTTTGCTAAGTTTTTAACTCAGAAATAAAATGCTAATTCTGAGTGTTTGAAATTACAATATACTAGTACTTCATTGTTTCATTATGTGCCTTCATTTTTCTATATACTAGTTGTATCAGACAGTAAGAAAAATTTTAATATTTTGACCACAGTTTTTTGAGACAAGGTTTCACTATATAGTTGAGGCTCACCTTGAACTCACTTTGTAGTTCAGGTTGAACTCACAGCCATCCTTTCTGCCTCAGCCTCCCAAGTGCTGTGATTATAGGTGTGTGCCACCATACTCAGCTTTGACTACATTTTTTTAAACTGCATTTTTTATGGTCATTTTCCCCACTCATTATTAGGATAGTTTTGCATGGTTTCAGCTTGCATGGGCATTTTTATGGTCTCACACTCCATGCAAAGGGAATACTGTGCATTTATATACTTTACAATAGCTATTATCATGACAACTGCTCACATAAGGAAGTGGAGACTTTAGAGGATCTAAGCTATTTGTCCAAGATTATGCATTTAGCAAATAGAAGCGCTTGTGTTTGAACCTGTACAATCTGACTCTGAGACCTATCCACCTCACCATGATGCCATATTGTTTCCCATAGAAGGCCATAAGCCAATCTAAGGTGGAAACTGTATCTTGTTATCTTTATATGCCTAGCAGGTACATATTATGTGATAAATGTATTGCATTAGCACTTTTTGTGTTATAATAAAAAATACCTGAGTCTGAGTAACCTATAAAATAAGGCGGTTTATTTGGCTCTTGACTCTGAAGATTGGAAGGCCCAAACATATGGTACCAGCAATCTGGAAACACCCCATCCACCACTTCTGTCTACATCATAACATAGCTGAGAAGCAGAAGGGAAAAGGGCCATATATGAAAGAGGACAAGAACATGGGCTGGCCATACTTTACAATAACCTGCTTTCTTGAGAACTAACTTGTCCTGTGAATGCTACATTATTCCCTTCCAAGGGTGGAGTGTCTTTGGCTGAATCCCCTCCCACTAAGCCTGACTTCTTAAAGATTTTACCACCTCCCAACACCCCCACACTGGAGACCAAGGTTTGAGCACATAAATATTTGGGGACTTTACCCTATCCAAACCATAGCAGGCATATTGAGTAAGTTTTACAAAAACAGTGCACGAAGTAAAGGAAAACACAAGATGTGAAGGCCAGCCATTATTGTAAATACATAATGTGGTGCAGAGTTGTTCATCCTTGCTAAGAAACTTCTAAAGAGGTCACTAATTGCATCAGAACACAACTGAATAAGACTGAAGGAAATAAAAAAAAGAAAATGTCATATTCCTTTTCATTTGTATAGTAGTTCTACAAGGGGAGCTATTCCATGAACTTCCTCAGAGACAGTGAAGCACCCAATGTTAGAGCCCCACAGAGCTCTCCTCTGGTTCTCATCCCTAAATAATACCTGAGATTGTGCTGCCTGAAGAAGTCAGGAAAGTTTCTACCAAAACCTTGAGCAAAAGTCCAAATAACCAAACTGTAGCAAAGCTCTGTTTTGAAAGTGCAAACCAGAGAAAAGTCAAGAAGATTTGCAGATGGATAAAAATAGAGATGGGTCGGGCAGGAATATGGAGATGAGCACTCGTGGGCTGCAGAAGGGAGAACACTGTGTTTTGTTTTGTTCCGTTCTATTCTTTCAGCCACCACTTTTACCCAGGCAATAAAAATGAAAGAGCAAAAGAGAGAGGATACCTAAGGAAATCAGCTTGAATAAGAGCAAGCTTAGACTGTAACACACAGGCTGGAAGTCTTATTATATTCATGGAAGGAAGGTCAGATCAGCCAGGAAAGAAGATTTCGGGGTAGAAGAGAGGAAAAGCATATGTCCTCCTGCTGGCTTCCAGAAAGGCAGCTCTTCCAGAACAAAGGAACACCCCTGGGGACTGGTATAACATCTACAATTCAGCCTTTGAGGAATGCACCCTTCCTGTTTCAACTCAAGGCCAATCCACCAAAAGAACCAACTTTCTGAATAGGAGTTTGAGATGACCTTCTTGTTGAAGGGCGCCCTCTCGTAGAATTTCTCTAGGAAAATGTTTTTTCTGTTGTCCTGACTCTGTCTTTGTCTGTCTGGTATCTATCTCTGACTCTCTCTGTCTCTGTTGTCTGTGTATTTTTACTTTGAGAGCAGAGAGTCAAGAAGGTTAAGAGTTTGGACACTTTGGGGTTCAAATGCTGAATATGAGAAGGGAAAGAGAGGAGGGAAAATGTGCCAAAGGATACTTTGTGGTCTGGGAGATATGTAAGTCCTTTAGCAATTATTTTTGTTTGCTTCCTGCTTCTTTAAATGGAGTATTTTCTGAAAAGTATATCACACGAGGCCCCAGCTCATGTTTGGGGTTCACTCATTTCATCTAATATGGTCCAAACAGTTCAAATTTGAAGGCAGAGATCTTACCTATTGGGCATCTATTACCTATTATTCCCCTGTCTGACATCCCTATTTTTTCTAGTCTTTTATTGATGATTAATTTCAGGGCTCTGTTTGGTCGCTGGCCTAGTAGTATCTTTTACACTGAATTACAATTTTGTGTTGTTTTCCGTTTCTCTGCTCATCTGCTCCAGGCAAGATGCTCTCTCTGCACTTGGGAGGGTGATAGTGACCACACACTGGGAAAAACCGAAGGGAAGACATTGTCCCAATGGATATTGTCACGAACATCTTTCCTTGTGAAAGGTTAAACAAGCATCATTAGGATAATACACGTTTTTTGATATGGAAGGAATTATTTTGAATAAAGGGAAAATTGAGAAATTTTACTCATACGAAGGCTCTTGAAGTTTCATATATAAAATTAAATAATATATTTGAATCAATAAGAAGTATGCCCTTACTTAATGAGCTAAATGGTGCATACCGGGAGTCATCTCCAGGAACATAGTAGGTGAGGATGGTCACGATTCTCCAGTTGCACTTGAAACCTGGTCTCTTCCTAGCCTCAACCCTAGGAAACCTGTTTCTTGCATAAAACCATCAGTTGAGTATTGAATTACAAAGCACTTGTGGATGGGGACCATTTATTCCTATTTCAATCTCTCTACCTGTCACAGTGTATATAATACATATGACTGCACATATCTGAGCATTTAATAAATGTGAGTTGAAATTCAGTATTTTATTTTATTAATCCATGTATAAAGCTTCAGTCAAAATAAAAAAGATCCTACAGCTTTGGGTAAATGCCATTGTGTCTAGATTTTTTGGGTTTTAAACTCAAAGCATGGTTTGTGGAATGCCTTGCTTTCTGCAATGAAACAAGTTTTTTTTTTCCTTATGTTATTTCTGGTGTCCAAATTTTCAAATTTTTATTTTATGGTTTCTCTTTGTTTTTGTTTAAAAATAAAGTGTTGGCAAGGGGGAAACGAAGAAACAAAACAGCAAACAAACAAACAAACAAAACTACTTTGATTAAGCATAGTTAGGGAGTTCGGTGAAGATTGTCTCATGCTGGTGCCAAGTGATGCTCACTAAAATTGCAGTAATTTTTGATGCACTTGCCAATGTTTGTGTTATTTTTACTTTAAAGATGTAACAGATTGCTCCAAAATAAATAATTTAAGCCTAATATTTCAAAAGAGTCCAAGCACTTGCATCTTTCACTTCTGGCTTCTCTTCTGGGGCTGAGCTGTACCTAAAGGAACCAACCCTTGTTTCTATATAACACTCCATTTGGAGGGTTGTTTTCTGGCTTTGTTTTTCAAAGTGGAATCTATTTTGTTCATCATTCTGTTCCAAATGTCACAGATTGCATCATTGTTCAGCACTGAAGAAATACCTCCTTTAACTCTAGGAGGAAGCAAATAAACATAAGATGAGCTTGTGGGAGGAGGGCTTGGAAGAGATACAGAGAGACTTCTGCGTAAGATTATACCCAAAGTCCCACAGAAATCTATGATTACTATACTGATTTGTATTTAGATATCAAGCCATGAACAAACAGCCAGACTCCACACACAACATCCTCATTACAACTTAAAACAACTTACATGTGCCAGGCTGGCTTCTCTGAATGTGACCTTATCTTCAGTCAATTAATGGATATCTCTTCAGACTGTTTATCAGTCTAGGAAAGAAGAAAGATCTATAATTTTAAAATCAAAAGAAAATCCTGATGATGTTCTATACTTCCAACATAAGTATGGATTGCTTTTATATTCACAAGAAAACCCACAATGATCTGACAGTTTTGTATTCTCATTAATGCAGGACGCCATTGTGAAGTCCATCAGATGATTGGCAACTACATGTGGGATCCCAACACTAATACGTCATTTGATATTGGTGTCAACAGAGATAGCCTGATGCCTCTCTGGTGGAATGGATCAGAGCCTCTGTGGATCACTCTGACCAAGGCCAAAAGGAAAGTCTACATGTATTATTGGCCAGGTGAGTGTGTTGACTTTCAGTACCCTCCAGTCTTCTATATGTAAAATACCATAGAGTCTTCGAGGGAAAGCAACACAGAGCTCTTGTTCAAAGGCCATGCTGTGATTTCAAAAGTGGGATCCTGACTTAAGAAAAGTCTTAAATGTCTTAAATTTTTGTTTTGATCTCACTAATATACCAGACATGATGTCATTCCCTGTTTGCCTTGACTTGGTAATACTGGTGCTATATATCATGTTTTTTATGTGAAAAGTTTAGATAAATAGCAGACATCAATTACAATATGCTTGTTGACTTTTACAAAATAATTTGGGTATACTGCTCATATGGATATTGGAGCTTCCCTACAATATTGAAAAGAGAATTTAAAGACTTCATAACTTTTTGATCATGCATTAAATTAAGACTCTTTTGTGTCAAGACTCCTCTTGTATACCCTATCATCAAGAAATGAGATTATTTTACTTACTGCACTGAGGGAAATAGTAGTGCAAGCTTCCTTGGTTACTGTGAGAAGTCATTGGGATGCTTGTATCCTAGTAGTTAGTATCTTTCACTAAGGATGAGAGAATTCAAAGGTAACAAAATAATCAATTTACTATGATGGAATTCATTTATTCAGTAGGTGGTAGACAACTTTACTTTTCCATTCACATGGCCAAAAGCACTTTTCTCCTAAATCTTACTGTTGTAAAACTGATGGGTGCCATTATGGACAAAGCTATCAAGGAATACCGAAAAGAAATGAGAAAATAAGTGAACAGCAGCCTGGTAGGATGTGGAAAGAAGACCCTGAGGGGATCTTAATGGCTTTGGTTGGAGGGTGGTGACAGCTGAGGAAATTATGAAAATGTGGTGGCTTATGGGGAGGGGGGACTTTGTGGATAGGGGAATGGAGAAAAGAATGAGTAAAGCAAGTCTGAAGCACAGATGGTCCACATGGAAGGTGAGGGCTTCAGCAGGAGTCTGGAGGAGGCTGTATGGAGGTGGCTACATGGAGAGCAGCTCGGAGCGCTCAAGTGTGCCAGCTCCCAGAGAAGCATAGAACTCAGACAGATGGAAACACAAAAATCACCCCACGTCCAGGCTGTGATGGAAGCCATGAAAGCTGACACTGGGCAGTGATAGGTATGCAAAGGTCAGCTCAGGAAGGCCAGAGCAAGCTGCAATGTCAAAACCCAGCACAAAAATAAACACAAACTCACTCTGCTAGCAGAGGAAGTCTTAGGGGGGACACTGAGAATTCTGAAGACATTTAGAGTTCTGTTTATAGCAGTCACCTGGGCTGACAAGGGAGGTATTTGAGCAAGGGCAAGGCTTAGGAGAACCGTTTAATCTCAAACTGAGACTCAATTTTTAACAGAGTTGGATTAAGGATACAGGTCACAGCCTGAGCCAATCTAATGAGACTTAACGAGAGGAACTGAATTTGTGATTGACCCATTGCTGTGAGTCCTAAACTCTAAAGATTTTGCTGCTCTTTGAGTTCATTCTCAGAAGTATTATTATTAACAAATATGGACATAGGAGAGGAAATAGATTAGGAATAGTTCCTTAGCAACCAAAACCACTTTAAAAGGCAAAAGATTTATATGACCTGAAGAGAAACCAGAGTATAAAAACCACTTTAAAGGATCATCAAGATGAATAAGTATTGCCACAATACCACAGGGCTTTCCTTCCATGATATCTGGTTAGTTCCACTTGCTGTGTTACAATTTAAATTCTTTACCCTTTGAAAAGCACCCCCCACACAAACACCCCCAACACTCTCTATGCTTCCACATAGAATCAGTTGTCTGTGTGGTTTTGCACAGTCATGGATACCAAAGCTGTAACAAAATGGGGGAAATCCTGAAGTGGGAAAGTTCTCATGTGCTAAGCTTCTCTGCATATCACAGAGCACTGTGCTTTCTCTCATCTCGGAGAACATGAAATTATATATCATTGAGAATCTAATGAGTCTCAAAGCTAATTTGCATGTAAAATATCTCATTGCTCCTCCAAACACCTCCTGAAGGTCAGGAAGGGACCAATAACTTCCTTTGATTCACAGCTCAACAGCTAATATGATATGACAAAATTGCCTTAAGACCAGTTGCGGTGTGAGCCATCAGGAGGAGAGAAGCTAAAATGGTAGTTTCCTAGAATTTCCACAGTGACCTAAATGAAGGTTAGATAAAGATCTGGCCATGTTGAAGTCTTGGTGGAAATTAGATGATAAGTTTCTTGTTTCTTAGACACTGTCTGGTCCTTCAAGTCTGTATACCCATGTAGCAGCTCTTTGAGAGTTGGTTGTTACTTCTTCTCAGCCCAGCCAGAAGTACCCTGGTAAACTCACATTTCTACTAGTTAATGGCTAAGAGATAAATGGTTTAACTGCTGTCCTTTCTCTCTCCGCCTTGGTCACCTCCAGCCTCAGCCTACAGCCCCTTGAATGCTCATTTGTCTCTGCAACATTAAGTGAAATGCAGTGGCATTTTTTCCAAATATTATTTGATTTTATTTTTCTTCTTCAATATTCCTCATCCTTCCCTACTCCCCCTGAGACATTGTACAGACCTCTTGATGAGGCCTGGAAAATTTTCCTTGCTCCAGTGAGCTGTGTTATGACACTCTGAGTCTCACCATTAAGTCAATATTTAGAAGTACAATTTAGAAATGGCAGTAGTTCAAATCTTCCTGTCAGGTAGACAAAGCCTCAGACTGAAAAATTGATCAGTGGTGAAGAGTCCACCCTATTTCAACTCAAACCTTGTGATATTTAATATTGTTGACAGACCCTTTAGATTCCTGTCCAATGGTACCACTCAGTAGTGCAGGGAGAGATGTGACTTAGGACATGATCCCAGGCCCTAAATAAGCCAGGCACTGCATGACTGGGAACCAGTGTTATTTTGCAAAGGATAAGAGATAAATGTTCATTTTTCAGAAGTTATTCCTCCACCTGAGCTCTGTAGAGCTCAAAGGAATGTCAAAGGAATTTTACTGAGGTACAAAAGAAGAAGTGCCAGTATTCACTGCATGTTGGAAAGAAACCAAAGCAGCAAAGGATTTCTTGAGGAAGAAGTCAGGGAATTGGTGTGGATGCTAAGATACTGTATAGAAAGCATTTAATCATCTTGGACTAGCAGTGCAACCTTACATAGTGGCAGTGGTTTCTAAAGTTTGTTCTTACACCCTTCATAAAATGTCAAAAAGGAATAAAAAATAGATGCCTTTTAACAATCTGTGGTTAAAATGCCTGGGCATTCCAATTCTAAATCTTTCATCATCTATTTTTGTGGTGGTAACTCCCTACAACCAAACAAGAAGTTTTGAGTACAAACCACTCCTATGCCCCTGGAATGGTGCTGAGTGTGGGTCTGGGCTTTTCTCCCGACCTCTTCCTGGCCTGTGCAAGTGTTTAGACCAATAAGATACCTTCTATGTAGAGAAACACACATTACCACGTGTTTTCCCTCCCTTACTTTCCAGCACTGGACTGAATGGGGGGTTAATAGGTAGGTGTCCAATTCAGCTGCTCTTGAATTTTGGTTGTTATAATTCACCTGGGTGAGAAGCACGTATTGACTATTGATTAAAATGTATGGGTCATCTATGAATTCTTCCTCTTTTCTGCCTCAGTGGGGCCTTGACACCCTTCTTTCAGGCTGACCTTAGATGTATACACCTCAGACACAGGGATAATCAGGAGCCATCATCCATCACACAAACGTGTGAGTTATATCTAAGTCATTGCCTCTATTCACAGGACACCAAATATCTGCATAAAAACTGGATTTTTTTTCAGGCAGATATATAACAATGCAAATAAAAAGGATCTGGGTAGTCACTAAATTTTCAAAAAAATCACCAATTTGGCATTAGACTTTTAAGATTTATGTAATTTTAGAACTGAAAGAGGCCTTAGTGCTAGTTTCAACACTTATAAATGAATAAACTCCCTAGAGAACTGATCACAATTACAGATTTGGGAGCTCAGGGTTGTAGTTCAGTAACATAGTGATTGTGTAATGTGAATGAGGCCTTCAGTTCAATCTTTAGTACCTCAAAAAGCAAAAAAAAAAAAGCCCTACTGATCTTCTTTCCAGAAAAATATACCCACACATACTACGCTTGCAGTTTATGCTTATGTAACACAAGACAGTACAAGATTAGTATTACCAAGTTAATTTTTGATGTAGTAACACACACATACTTATATCTGATTGGTTTTATTTTATACTATGTGAAGGTGTTAACAACTCATTAAAGTAAAAAATGAAACCTAAGCTCCTTTAATTAATATTTTCTGGCACAGGTAGGCCTGGATAAAAATTCTGTAAGACTCTTAGTTGATATCAAATTACATCATTTCCTTTGTCAGTAAGTTTGGCAAGCTCTACATTACTGATATTTTCCTGTGTCAGCAGGAAAAGATTACAAATCCACATTTTAAGTGTGAGATTGTCTTGAAAAAAACTGGTCTTCAAAATCGTCCTACAGAATTTCTAGGCAGCAACCATTTCTGCTGTAGAGACATTGAGAGGTGTTGCCTCTCTAGACTGCTGGCAGCAGGAGCAATGCCTTCAGCTTTGAAAGCTTAGATAGCTGTCCAACTACATTCTCTCTTCTTTTGCAAGATAGTATCTTGGCTAAAAGAGTTCCTAGTTTGTTTGTTTTGTGTTGTTTTGTTTGTTGCTTTTTTTTCCACAGCAGTATCCATTGTTTTGATTAGAAAGTCTGAAAGAGAAATCCAGGGATGAATTTCTGTCTTCACAAATCATGGTAAATCCATTTCTTCACAAAAACATCTTTAAAGAGAACGACGCAAGACTGTGGAATGGGCTCTCAGAAGACAACCATGAGCTAAAGCAGAAACAGACTCTCCTCACCATGTGCCTCTTCCTTGAGAATTCTAGTGAAGGAGGTAGATAATCTAATATTTACCCAAGTAAATGTGAAAAGCACAGCTATGGAAGGTACAGTCATGAAAGATGATTATGACATCATCTAAT